TTTCAAAAAAAAAAAGAAAGAAGTGAAAAAGCGTGGAAAAGTTGATTGTCAAATTTAATTAACCAAATCCTTTCGGGTTTAAAAGAGCTAGAAGCGAAGAGGCCCTTCACAGAAGCATAGAAGCCGAGGAAATAGGCGTGTCTCCATTCCGCTCCGCTCATTATGCGTCGGGAAATTTACTGCTATTTAGTATCTAGTTTAACTTTTATTATTAACAAAAAACTCAGACCTCCTACCAATCACTAGCACATACACAAAAATTAATAAATAATTAACAAAGCATTGTGTACATATTCTATATATCGTGTGAAGTTATCATTCGCATCCCCTTTTTCTTCCTGGCACAGTAGTTTTATGAACCCCTCGCCGCCAGAGTAGAAGAAGAGAGCACAGATGGATGGGGAAAAAATACAGGGAAGAAAAGAGTCATATTGGGAGAAGAAAAAAAGAAGGGAATCGGATAAATTTCAATAATGCACGAGAAATTGTTATATAATAAAAAAGGGAAAACACAGGATCCATATAGAAATGAAAGGACAATAACTATATGAGACAAGATGTTCTTTATCATAAATTTTCCTTGCGATCTTATTTCGCTACTCCAGATATTACTCCCTTCTGAGTAGCATAGAACATGTCCTGGGCGATTCCCTATACGTTCTTTAGTTAATCTGTGCTATTGATATTATTCCCATACCTTATTATTTCATTCATCTATTTATCATTCTTTCGCACTTTTCCTTATTAGTTTTATTCTTCCATACTCACCATGTATGTCTTAATCTCTTCCCCTTGAATTCGTGTTTTTTATAGGTCCCCTTATCAGTAAATGTTAGGAAAACACTGCACAAAAATAAGTATCAAGTCATTTACTATATTTGAGAGCCAAGGGAAAATAAGAGGAAGACGACAAGAGAATAGGCCAGAGTAGGGCACCATCTGTGCGTAGCCCCTTCGGGTTGCATTAAAAGGTTCAACCAGCCTACACAGCGATGCATAACTTAAGTAAAGCAATTTAACGTTCCCCTCATTTACTTACTAATTTTTTTTCGGATGGGAAAAAATTATCTATTTCCTTTTTACTCCCTGATGAAAAATGCACTGACAGCAGTGCCATGTGCCTTGAAAGCATCTGTGATAGGTCTTTTTTTCAACGCATTTTGCGAAGGTGACTTTCCCTTAGCTAAAAATCGTATCCTTCCTCATCCGCTATATACGATCAACTTCGGGAGATGCATCATTAAAAAAATAAAGGATATCAATAGGAACTTCCCCCCCCCCCGCATTTGGAGAGAGGGAGGGGGGGGGGGAGTCCTCCTGATCGTTTTGAATAAAAAAGCATATACCAGAAGTTAGATCACTTTCATTTTTTTCATGCATCTGCTTTGATATGAGTTAAATTGATGGATTTCAATTTAATTACTCCTCGTAGTATCACAGAAAAGGAGTTTAATAAGAAAGAAAGATGCATTGAGAGCGTCTTTATTCATCCGATTCGCACAGAATACTCTGGAAGGAAACCAAGGAATCAAAAAGGGATCCTATAGGGCGATAAGGCAAGGACCTTGTGGAGCATTGGACTATCGAATAGAAAAGTGATCAAAAAAAAACACGGAAAATTTAAAAGTGTTAATCACGTGAGTAGCCTTCCAACAGGTTCGTTGCGCTGACACATGTGAGGAGATGAGTGCTCACAGCATCTAATCGTGGTATGTCCATTGCCAAAATATACGGACTCACCACTCAACACTTGAGGATCGATTTTCCCTTCCCTCGACCCGGCCTCACTGAACAGGGATCCCATTTTTTCTCGCACCCATGCTTTATTTTGGTTGAGAAATGACCAACACCACCACCTTATTCTTTATTTTACTTTCTAAAATGAAAAAATATTAAAATATCAAAACGACAAAGATTCAATACTCTTATTAATTTGAGCCTCTTATGCGGGGCAGTTGAAATAACGGAGCCCGTCCGATCGGCTCTCCACAGAAATCCTCCATGGGTCCCGTATAAAAGCCTCGGCGCGATTTCCGAGGAGGAGTCCTCATTACCCTTTCCTTACGGGGTTGGCTTTCCTTCTCGCTCGCTCAGCTCAACCCGCCCTCCCCGTCCTTCGTGAGCTCGCGAACCGGTTCGACGCTTACCAGGCCTTGTTATACCCATTAAACGGCGGCTGCTGCACCGGATTCCGACCGACGAAGTTCAACGCCTTGGTGTCCATCGGGGGGCGCCCGCCGGTGATCCCGGGCGCGCCCGGGACGCCGGCCATGCGGGTGTTGTTGAAGTGCTGCAGCGGCCCCCCCCCCCCCCACCGGTCATGTGGGGCGGCAACGGGGCCTGGGCCATCCGC